GCTAAGGTTTTTTTTCACTTGCCCGGTCGGGCAAGTTGGTCAGAGATCTACTTGCCCGAAGTCAGTTTTTACTTGCCCTATAAAAATTGTTTAATTTAAGCGGCTATCAAATAACAAAGACTGCAGTTATTTTTATGTTATGTAATCTTTATTCACACTGTATTTATTAATTAAAACAACATATGTCATGTATTGTAGCTTAATTCCTACACAAAAATGACAGTGTCAGGGCTTAAAGTGAAAAATTTGTCAATCATTCTCCGTCTATAATTTTGCGTCCTACTTGAGCCATGCCCACCTCTATTTATTTTTCACCCCTCTCTCCAGTTCTGCTGTATTAACACCGGGTTTAATATATTTTGCTTCCATCTCTCTGCCCTGCTCTATTCTACTTCAACGCTACTTAGCTCTCTCTCTACTCTACCAGTAGACTACCACATCCACCTGTTGCACAAAACGCACACAGCAGTGTTTCCCCTAGGATGGAGTTGTAGCAGTGGAGGTGAAGCACACGCATGAAAAATCTTTTTCACATGCGTGAAACTTTTTTGTATGCTTGCAAAGCACAGCCTGCTGGGATGTTTCTATGTATCTACTGGCACCAGAAGGGCTCTTTAGGACTAAGTACATACAGTGCATGTGTGCACAGTATGAGCAGGTGAAATGTCTGTCTAGCTTACATATGAGGTGTCTCAAGATTTAGGAACATACAATTTTATTGAATATAATAAAAGTAAAAAGTCACATGACATGCTGCTGTTTTGTGCTATGACCTATTTAAGTGTTGGAAGTTGTTATTTACGTGACAACACCTGAACGCAACACAAGCTCAGCACCAGTGCTGTGCTGCGCTGCTGTGCGAGCAGCTGTTTATCTGTGTGTAACAGCAGTTTGTTGATGGTTATTTACACAGTGTCCATAACAATAACTTTGTCAGCTGACAAACTGCACCGGGCTCGGGGTCAGGTTTGGTCAGGAAAATGCGGCCCGAGCCGCTCTAGCATGCTCACCTGTGTGTGGCGGAACTCCGCCATGCGCAATACAGAGAGCAGAGGAGAACTGTTATCGCGTGACCATGTAGAGACAGAAATGACACAATGACATAACACCATAAATAGTATATTGTTATGTTATTATATTAAGCGTCCGTCACGCAAAATAATATTAATGGGGGCTGTGGGCAGGACATTGTTACACAGCGTGTGCCTGTGATTTCAGGCAGAGAGACAGCTGCATCAGAGCACATTTTAAAATACATTTATTTTATCAATTAGTTATTAATTTTTACTATTTTTAGCAACCTGCCCTATCGGGCAAGTGGGTTGTTCGTTTACATGCCCGACCTTGAGTTTTACTTGCCCTGGGCAATCAGGCAATCCTTATTGTTGAGCCCTGCAATGTTACTTTTAATTCCTTTCCTGTATTAACAAATGAAATGAAATGAAAGGCACGTATGTAATGATGCTGTTTAATAGTCACCATCCTGTATAATGTCTCCTGACCTACATAATGATGTGATCATTCAATGACTTGTTTTTGCATTTTGTGTGGACCCCTGGGAGAGTAGTTGTTACTGTGGTAACAACTAATGGGGATCCTGAATAAAGAATAAAGAATCTGTATAATTTGTGGTCTCTCTAAGGAAGAAAAAATGAAGACAAAACTCAACAAAAACATCCGGAAGCAAAAGAAAACCATCTACAAGAGTCTGATGGAGACAATCAAGGAAAACATGAAAGAAAGCTATGAAAGTAAGATAGTAGACCATGACATATACAACCTGACACAATATTACTACATATCTACATTTAATATGATTGTGCTGAAAAATGTAATTGATGTAATTTAATTGTTTTATTTTAGAAGCAGCAGAAATTAGAGGAGGAGGCTCGCTGAAAAACATGAGGAGCACTATTGAGAACCATGTACGAGATTCAAAGGACATCATGTTTCAGAGGGCGAAAAATGTTATGTTGGAGCAGCTGGAAAACTTGATGGTTTGTCACATTTTATAATACCTCATATAATTAATCAAACATGTGCTGCACATCTTTATCTTTGTCCGCAATTGTCATCTTTTACATGAAGACTTGTTCAATATTCAAGTTAAAAGTCTGAAAGCTGCTTTTGCTACTAAAACACTACAGGGACTTTCACAAACATTCAACTATTGTTATTTATCTGAGACAGAAACATACAAAAGATTATGTAGTTAATATAGCTGCATTTGTATTTGTATTTGTATTTGCATTTGCATTTGTGGTGCCTCCTGGTGGTCATTTTGAATAGAACTTTCAGGGTATGTTTCAGGTACTTAAGTTGACATATTCTACAAGTTTTATGATGATCAGCCCAAGTGTTCTTGAGGTTAGGTCTATTTACGTACGTACTGAGCTACACCCCTTTTGAAGTTCACTGGTCAGTATCTTCTAAACAATCAGATATCAGAAGATTTTGATAACTCTTGATGAACTTGGTCTGATGATGATCCACAGAAAATTTGGTACAAATCAGACCCATGGTTTAGGAGGAGATGTCAAAAATGTGTTTTTCTGGTACCCCCCTTGGAGCAATTTCAAAATAAATTTACTCACTGGCTTCAACATTATTATTTAACATATCCTGCAAGTTTTGTAATGATTGGACTAAAAGCAATTTCGATTTATAGCCTGATTCATGTTATGTCACGCCCATTTTTTTTTTGCATTTGTGTGCCCCCTAGTGTTTGATTTAAATTCAACTTTCAGGTTATGTTACTGGAACCTCTTTAGGCAATTCCTGCAAGTTTTGTGTTGACTGGCTCATTGGTTATGGAGTTAAGTCTACACTGCTCAAAAGAATTAAGGGATCACTTAAATCACACGTCAGATCTTGATGAATGAATTATACAAGTTGAAAATCTTTGCTGATGTACACTGTATAATTTGTTGAGAACAAAATGACATAACAGTCAATGGAAAACAAAATCGTCAACCCTTGCATGCATGCCTGTATGGACTCCTGACAACGTCTAGGCATGCTCCTGATGAGCTGGCAAATGGTGTTCTTGGACATCTCTTCCCAGACCTGGATCAAGGCATCACTGAGCTCCTTGACAGTCTGTGGTGGTAGTTGGTGGTGTCAGATGCATGGATACATAACATCCCATAGGTGCTCCATTGGATTTATGTCAATGGCATCAGTGCCTTCGTCATCCAGGAACTGTCTAAACACTCTGGCCACATGAGGCCAGGCACTGTGCTGCACCAGGAGGAACCCAGGGCCCAATGCACCAGCGAGAAATTTGACAATCGCTCTGAGGATTTCATCCTGGTACCTGGCTGTGACATGGAAGTTTGTGTGACCCTCCTAAAATATGCCTCCCCAGACCATCACTGACCCAACACCCATCCGGTCATGCTGGATGATATTACAGGCACCATTACGTTCACTACTGCGTCTCCAGACTCTTTCACACCTGTCACATGTGCTCAGTGCTAACCTACTTTCATCTGTGAAACGAACGGGGCCCCAATGGCGGACCTGACAACTCTGGTGTTCTCTGGCGAATAGCAGTTGTGTTGCACAGTGCTGGGCTGTAAACACAGGTCCCACTAGAGGATGTCAGGCCCTCATGCCACCCTCATGGAGTCTGTTTCTGACAGTGTGGTAAAAAAACATGCACACCAGTAGCCTGCTGGAGGTCATTTTGTAGGGCTCTGGCAGTGTTCCTCCTGTTCCTCCTCACACAAAGGAGCAGATACCGGTCCTGCTGCTGGCTTGATGCCCTTCTGCGGCCCTGTCCAGCTCTCCTTGTGTGATGGCCAGTCTCCTGATATCTCCTCCATGTTCTTGCGACTGTGCTGGGAGACACAGCAAACCTTCTTGTTACCGCACATGTGGATGTGCCATCCTGGAGGAGCTGGACCACTTGTGCAACCCGATTGGGCTGCAGGTACCGCCTCATGCTACCAGTAGTGATAAGGACACTAGCAGAACACAAAACTAGAGAAGAATCAGTCAGGAAGGATAAAGAGAGAGCAACTGTCTGTGGCCACCGCATGTAAAACCATTCCCTTTTTGGAGGTCGTCTTGCTTTTGCACCTGTTGTCAGGTGCAATATTTGCACCAGAGAAGGTGAAACTAATTCACAATCACTTGTGCTTCCTAAATGGACAGATTGATATCCCTGAAGTTTAACTGACTTTGTGTTATACTGTGACCATTAAGTGTTAGCTTAATTTTTTTTGAGCAGTGTATTTTTGTGCTGAGTCATGTCCCCTATAAGGTTCATTGTGTCATTATCTTCAAAACACCATGAGATATCAAGAAGCTTTTGGAGAACTTTTGACAGGCTTGGTCTAGCGATCATTCATAGAAAATGTGGTACAAATTGGACCAACAGGTTTACAAGGAGATGTCAAAAAATGTGTTTTTCAAAAAATTCAAAATGACTAAAAATCTTACCTGCTGACTCTAATAGGGTTTGAGGATTTTTTTTAGGACACACTGAGCTGGACTTGTGAATCGCATTTCAAGCCAATCCCACTTACGATGTATGAGTAACAACTATTGAAGTTAACCTTTAATTACAGTGCCCCCATCAGGCTGCTTGGAGTTATATTTCTTAGGCAGCAATTGCACACAACGTCCAATCATTGGAGAAAATTTAAGTGGTCTACGATGCACCATCTCACAGAAATTTGCAACAACAAAAAAATATTCTTAAGAAAAATCATAATAATAATAACATGATACAGAAACAATAAGGTTTTAGCCCTTTGAGATTAAACCCCCCATTAGCCAATATGCCCAGTCTGAGCTGCCCTCTGAACACACATCTAAACAGTTCATTCATGTTAGATTTAGTTCATCTTGAACACAATATTTGGCTGTGTGAGTGAAGAGTGATGAAAAATTTGTTAATTTAGGAGCAGATCCTGAGGGAAATGAAGAACACAATGCAGGAATCAATCGAGCTGTCACTCAATACAGATGGTGACTCAATCCCAGGTAAATGGACAATGCGCTCTCATCCCAACTTGTCAAATACCTCCGTTTTGTCAGTGGATCAAAACGTCAAAATATGACGTGCTAGGTAGCCTCCTGTGTCGGTTTTGGACGTTCACAGACAGCGTCTTATTTGACCCTTATTACTTACATTATGTCTTTTTAAAATACATTTCCATTTTCTCAGGAAAATGTACAGCTCATGTCTCCTCATAACATGCGTACAGTCTTTTTCAAAATAAACTTAATAGTTAAACACCTCGCTTTTGGTTTATTTCCTTAGGTTTAGGCAAAAAAAGTCCCTGGTTAGGTTTAGACAACAAAAGCATGTAGTTAGGTTTAGAAAAAACATGATGGTTTGGCCTCAAATAAGTATAGTTCTTCCTCATGTAGGGTCGCATCACATGAAATACATCATGTGACATATGTCACTGCTCTTGCATGCTATGTATACCTGCAACTATGTTTTTAATAACTCCACTGAGTTTTGGTTTCACACGGACAGTGAACTACCAGGGGTCCATTTCACAAAGCAGGTTTAGTGAAAACTCTGAAATGAAGGAAACTCTGGGTTTTCCGTTTCAGAAAGAGAGGTAACTAAAGCTTGGTGTCAGTTACTATGGCAACTGACTCTGTGAACCTAACCTGGTCGGGAGCAGGTTTTCTTCAATGAACCTTGAGTTTCTAGCTGTCTCCTCCCTCTTACGCCACACACGCAGTGTGATTCATTCATTCGTTCATTCGTTTAGCGTCGTGCAGGTTTCAGTGAGTTTGATCATCTGTCCTCAAGGTAAAGTTGGATCCTAAAGTGTGTTCTAATTCTAAATCTACTTTTTTCGACCATGGCATGTCCGTTCTTTGAGGACCCTGTGGACGAAGAGGTAGTGTTACTGAGGAGGAAGTTAGGCATTTGTCTGGAGATTATTCACAGGCCCAGAATTGACGTATTATCATTTCCAGAACATTTTCTTTTTTAACGGTACCATTTCACATCACAGTCCATCATTTATATCCATAACTTCATCCGCGTGACATAACCAATGTCACCAACCGTGGACATGCACTTTCATCTACCCAGATTCTTTGTGTTGCTCTTCGTTTTTTTGCAAACGGGAGTTTTCTGTGTAATATCTTTACTGTTTAAAATCACAATCACGACCACCCAGAGCAGTCAAATAAACGGAAAGCCCTTCAGTGGTAGCTGGGAATACATAAGGATGACATTATACAGTTGCACATGAATTCCACTGAATTAACCTCTGGCGATGTTTTTATATTTCATCTTGAGCTGCTTCCATGTTCCTTTTTCACCGGTGGGATTGCATCTAAGTGAAATAAATTTTAGCTTTAACACCATTCCACCTGTGTGCATCTGTAGCCTAATATTATTGTGATTGCATAAATGTGTAAAATAAATTTAAACTTACGCATTGACTCGAGCAGTAATTTTCTCCCACGCCGACTCCCGTTCCTTAGCTGCTGCAGCCGTGTTACTCTCCTTCCTGAAAACAGCTTCAAATTCGCTGTCTGGGTGCATTAAAATATCCAACTCCAGAGGAGTAAAAAATGCAGACCTTTTCTTGTCGCTTGTTGCCATGGTGAATCATGGTATCGGGGCTCCATTGATGACGGCTTTTTAAAGTCGTGGTGCACTCGCTTAACTCAGAGTGAACAAACTCTGTGTTGATTGAACCAATTGAAATCACCTGTTCTGAAACCCGTAACCCAGAGCTTCCCATCTCAGAGTTACTCAACTCAGAGTTCAGGGTTTAGGCTCAGAGTTTGTTGAACCTCCTTTCTGAAATGGACCCCAGGTGTGTGTCCGGTGTTTGCTTGTCCCATCCACCCTCCCACCTGCCCTATCGGGACTTTTTGGCTCTTTATACTGCGGCAGTTGCCAGCAGCATCAGAAATTGCCGCCGCCCAGTGCGTATCATACCTTAACAAAAGGTGCCTCTATATGTCTGTATCTGTCGCCGAAGTCACTGACAAAGTGGTGGTATTTGACGAGTTGGGAGTGAGAACAGACTGAAATGGAACATTTAAATTGAAAATATTTAATTGAAATGAATAAGTCACCACAGGTCCAATCATTTAATAATTGATAGTGCACTGGTGAACAATATGTTGTTTTTTATTTTTGTAGATGTTTCAGATGAGCTCCAGATGGTGAAGAAGTACTGTGATGAACTGAAGGAAAACTCAGTTGAAGAACCACCACTATATATGAGGTAAAACTGTTGTTAAAACGTCCACATAATTCTTTGACTATGAACTGTTCTGAATAATGCTAACAATGCTTTTAATTATACTAGTGCTGATCCACCTGTCCCAGCAACCCATTCATGACGTGTGCATAGGTAAGTTTTAGTGAAACTGATGATCAAAGTCGATGATGGGAGAGATGATATGACAGCCCTGCTGTAATTCATTACTGTTCAATGTCACAACTTCACTGTTTGTTTCTCTGGTGGACGTTTCAGGTTTGCTCAGTGGAGAGAATCAGCAGATGCCTGATCACCCACTGAAGGTCCCTGTGGGCACACCGATCCCTCAGAGACATGACACCTCTGGATTTGATCTCAACCATTTTTGTCAAGTTATTGTATCTGTAGGAGGAATAGCCTTCTACACTCCTCCAGAACCTTCTAAGTAAATGGACAGAGTGAGTGGGCCATTCTGAGGGTCAAATGTTTACGCCTCTGCCCCCAGCCTCACCTCATTCTTGAGGAACTCTTTCACCGTCATCCTGGCATCAAGAGTGGTAAAGGTGTGAATTGGAAACCCTCCAGATCATAGCTGCTGACTTTTAAGTTCACCACATGCTCTCCCCTTTTTGTCATCTCTATGGGAACCACACCAGCTATATCTAATTCACAACCTGGTGAAGAGGAGAAACAGATGTGGGGGTCGTAAATTCAGTATGCATTCCTGAGCAGAAACCAAGTTTCTCTTGTAACCAAATGGAAATGTCGCTTGAAAGTAAAACTATACATTTTATCCATGTTCTAACATTGTAACTGTGCATAATCCTTTTTGTTAGTTGAATGATTTTTTTCCACTCTTGTAGGTCATAGTATGAGTGAGTTATAGTTTCATGTGTTTAATCCCTCATTTTACATGGAGTCATACTGCCATCTTGTGACGATAGTTAAGAAGGGTTCCCGTAAGGAATCCCATATTTTGAGTTGAAATATATTTGGATTGATTAATCAACTTGTCTTTATTAATATGTGCTTTCTCATTTAGTATGTTGATACAATTGCAGACTAGTTTGTAGTGTTGGTGCACGAAACATTTATACTTGTGTTCCGCTGATATATGCTTTATAATAATCATATTGAATTTAATTTGATGTTGAGCCGATTTTGACCATAATGGGAAGAGTATGTGTCTATCACGCCTAACGTGTTAAAGTGGGTTAGGGTTAGGATCGAATTTATTTTAAACTTTTAAGTTTTAAGTCTGTCCTGAGTTTTCTTTCTTTTTGTCTGTGCCTTCAGTAACATTATAACCTGAAGCGACGAAGCCAGCCGATTGCAACATTTTTATATGCATTGATAATAACTGATAATTATATCGATTGTTTTCAACCTTATTATAAGCGAGTAGCCACAGCTAAATAGATAAGCTACTGCAACTCCATCAAAGGTTCACCCCAAAAGCTGCCAGAGCTGCAAAATACCTGAATTCGCTCTAGCAGCGCCACTGGTGAAATATTTGTGGCAGCGAAAACAGCTCAAGTCGCTCGTGACGTCAAATTCTGAACATTCCATTATGCTTCTTAATTTAAATGAGCCGCAAAGCAGGTTACGGGCTGGAGCACAGAAATGTAACTTTGTGCATTTGCCTGAGTACAGAAACTTTCACGTTTGGACAATGAAAACAGAATAAAGTCTAAATAGGTCTGACATTAAACATTAAACACACACAGCCTGTGTTGCGTTCAGGCGTTGTCACGTAAATAACAAATTCCAGTACTTGAATACACCGTAGCACAACACAGCAGCGTGTCAAGTGGGCCAAACCCGAACTGAATATGAGCATATTTAATTTGTTATTCCCCCCAAAGCTGTAAACCTAGGGGAAACACTGTAAGTGGTTTGGGTTCGAGTGCCTACAGTGCGATTAGTGAAACTGGTGGTAAGGAGAGCAAATTAATTGCACTCCCGCTAATAACAAGCGTTCCAGAACACAAAGAAATTGTATAAGCACGTGCGCTTGTCCACACTTGTGTATCGATTCAACATGGAAGAAGACACTCTTGTAATTTGTGCTGCTGTGTGGTACCTACGTGGATGTAGCCGCCGTTGGCTCTGGGTTCACGATATCCTGCGGGGCCGTGAACAGCACAGGGAATATCATCGGCTGGTGCGGGAGCTGTGGCTGGATGGGAAGAGGTTCCAGCGCTACTTCAGGCTGAACATAGATCAGTTTGACAGCTTGCTGCTTGTTTTGAAGTAGGAACGAATGTGTGGTAGGAACTAAAAGCTTCCAAGGATGTTCTCTGGGTTCCACACAAGTGATGGACATCTACATTCCGACTGGTTGCTGGTCATTTGCAGTTCAAACGCGTCATAGCTAATTTGCATAAAGTTAACCAGTCTTCAACTTTCATTTGCAGCTCACTCCGCCAAACCGCCACTGCCCATCGCTTTTGCAGCTCAAAGCGCATCTAGTCGTCACGTCCATTGAAAATGAATTAGACATGTCGCCTTTGCAGCTCTAGCAGCTTTTGGTGTGAACGTACAGTAAGAGAACCAACGTTTGAGCGCCCAACCGCTCCTCCACCACTGTGTTCCAGCCGATTTCATTCTGCTGGGAAGTCCGGGAGCTGCAAAGTGACAATCCGGTGTCCTTAGAGAAACATCAGCCGGAGCCAACTCTGCTCAAAGTAGCCACTATCGCCAAACTAAATAACTGACAAAAGTGTTACCTCTTGTTTTAATCCATTTATACATACTGTTTATTTTGTGTTATTTCATATCATCCTCATTTACTACTCATTTACTCAGTTGTTAAACATTTAGCCCTAAATAAATCTTCATTTCTCGCCAAGTCCTTGTCTGTGGATATTTCTTTTGAGCAGGAACTAAGATCACTGTATAGAGAATTCATAACTCAGATACTGAGATTGAATCATTATTGATAAGTGTACTGTTTTTCTTTAACATTCACATGCCATCAGGTGGCAGTAATATTAATTGCTCAACAGGCTCAATAAAGATGAGTTTCTTTCTTAAGATTAATGGTAATGGCAGGTAGGCTGTGTGTTATGCTAATATATGTTAGCAAAGTACCTCTGACCGATGCAAGAAAAAAAGAACATGGGGACACAAAAACACTGTAAATAGTAGGGGTGGGAATCTCTAGGCACCACACGATTTGATTCAATTCAGATTCTGAGGGCAATGATTTCGATTATAAAACAATTCTCGATTCTAAAATGAGCCAATATGAAAATTTACACTAGATACTGAAAAACATTTTTGTAATAAAGCTGGGAATACATATCCAGTGCATACAAACTGTATTACTTACTGTGGTTGAGATGACTTCACTCCACCTGTCTCCTCTGGTCCATCCTCCTCATCCACAAATCTCAACGTGACTCTCCTGTCCCTCGTCGACCTCCTCGACATTTCTCCTCCAGTATTTACAAAACTATAACTGACTATCTATAAACTATAAAAACACGAACTATTGTAAAAAAAAAAAATAAAAAAAAAAAAAAAAAAATGACGAACGATGGCAAAACTACGAACTATGGTGAAAACACGACGAAAACACGGTATAAAAAAACTCAAAAGCTCTCGAAAAACCACAAATACTATTATTTACAACACTAAATATTATTTACAAAGAAAACACCACCCAAACTCACCAAAACTCCGCTAAAACACCGCTAAATCACGCCAAATCACGCCAACTTGTTCTCTCCTCGTCAGTTGTCACTCTCCTCCTGCTGTGCTCACTTCCCTCCCCTCCTCCACAGGTAATGACGTCACTACCGTAATGTCCGCTTCTCAGAATCCGTTGGAATAACGTCGATAGAGTGAATGGTCGAGGAGTTACGGTAATTTGAAAAATATAAAAATAAAATTTATATCGATTATGAGTTTTCCAAATCGATGCTCGCATCGTTCAAGACAGAATCCCGATGAATCTAAAAATCGATTTTTTTCCCCCCACCCCTAATAATCATGATGTTAACTATTATGAAGAAGGCAAAACGACACAAAGTGAAGCTTCCGATCTCAACAAAAAAGGGAGAAATAGGATGAAAACACTATCAGTCAACATAGCTCCTGCACTGCTGGGTATGTGTCCCAGTAAGTAACATCTATCTATGTACTGAATACAGACCATACCGACCTCACCTGTGCACTGTGCCCAGGAACGTCCTGAAAGATGAAAATACCAAAACTAAGACTGAATGATACTAATACTGACCAGACTGCATCATGAGATCTTAAACTGTCATTTACTCCCCTGTGTGTCTTGTTGAGTCAAGCCAGTTTCACTGTGAATATCTTTCCATTTTTATCATGAATCAGACTCAGTCCAGAAAATTCCAATAATTTAAGAATTTATTCTGGTCATAGAAAACATGACAATTTGCCATTTAAAAAAAAAGAAATCAAAAGAGAGCATACAGCAATGTTACACACCATCAACACACTGAATAATACTGACGCAGACGTATAAAGCCAGTGTGGAATCGCAGAGAACAAGTGGGTGTACCAGTTCCTGAACATGAGGTTAGATGATATAAATAGATATAAATAAATATTATTTTATTCAGAGTCTGACCCTTCTTCTTGACGTGGGCAGTGGACATTAAGGGAAAACTTAAGGGAATCTGGCATACATTTTAAATGGTCTTAATAATTTTGTTTTATTCAGAGGAAACTCCACACTGAGTGTCTGCTGTGCATCTCCTGTTATATGAAGCTACGTTAGTGTAACAGCGTGCCCGTGTGTAAACATTTATTTATTTTAATGTGGCACTGATTTAATCCAAATGTTAAACAGACTGAAATGTCTCAGGTTACTGTAAACTCAGCAGCATTTAATAAAGAAACAGCACAAACAGGTACTCAAAGCCCTTCAACAAAACCTTATGATTTATGAATTATACTCACTTAAATACTTTTTTTAAAATGTAAACTACATTATGTGACTGTCAGCATGAAACTGATGTTTGTAAATTCACTTACAGCTATAAGCACTAGATGTTAATGAACACATGAATATATGCATGCTAAAATGTCACAGATAGCAAAGGCATAGCTCTTAGGCACAGATAAAAATGGTGACTCACTTCACTTGAACTCTGACCTTCTTCTAGCTTGTATTTAAGTACAAATGCTTGTTTTTTTCTTTAAAATGTCAAATGTACCTATCTTGTCACTAAGCAGTTGACACACAGTATCAAGCTACAAGTAAGTTTTGTGGATAACAATCAGTTGTTGCCACTAAATAAATTCAGCAAGCTTCAACAGTCTAAAACAAAGGCATTGTGATGATGTGTATCAGTGAGCTTAAGTGTGGTAGAGAATACAATCATTTAAATTTCAGAAGGTAGATTAGACAATCGTATTAGCAGCGCTGACCGGAGTTGCAAGTTTTTTATTCAAAGACTAAAAATTCAAGTTGGCAGGTCAGGGGATGTTGAGTCACCTGTTAACCCAGAGAGTGCTGCTTCTTCAGGCTGTCAGAGCGCCTCACTCTCTCCTCTGGCGTCTTTCTGTACCAGCTCCTGTGAGGAAACAGCCGCTGTTATACTGTGCTGACTTTAAAGTCGTCGGTGCAAGATAGGAACATTTTCTCAGGAGTGGAGTGAGGAATGAGGAATCTCCAACAGGGCTCAACAACCAGGATTGCCTGATTGCTCGGGGCGAGGAAAAAGCAACACCAGACTGGTAAATTGTGAAGTGGTAAAACACAATTATACAACAAGTAGATCTGATCAGGCAACCTGATTGGTCAACTAGACATTTAGAACGTGATCAAATCAGCATGACAGCACTAAAAATATTACTCTGCCATCTACATGACAACATTGTAACTTTACAGAGCTGCAGCAAAAACCAGTAGGTTACAATAAAGATGCAAAATGGATCTCTTTGTTGTTAACTTTTATTTAAATCATCTTTCTTTAATAAAAATAATTTATTGTGCTGTCAGATTGTTGCTAGATTGCTGCATTAATACAGGAGCAGAAAACTACAAGCAAACAGTTTGGTGACCACACAGACAGAAACATATTGTAAATTTTAGAAATGATGACATCTGTGTTTTTCAATAAAGTCAGAAAAGGTAACACAACAGATGTTTCAGGAGACATCTTAGTTACAACAATATTGACTTAATAAGGCTGTTTTGTGTTTGTATCTGTTGTTTTATTTAGTTTGGGAAGTCCCACGATCCAAAGCATTTAAGTTAGCTCCACATCGGAACCCATCAGCTATTGTCTAATGACGATAAAAAAGTATTTTGAGCTGATCTGGTGTAGCTGGCAGATGGCTTAGTCAACACTTCCTCCTCTGTGTACTGGTAATTTCGGCTAATCTCTATGAGCAGAAATTAGCATATCAATCAATCAATCAATCAAACTTTATTTGTATAGCACTTTTCATACATTAAAAATGCAGCACAAAGTGCTTCACAGAATAAAAACAAACAAAAACAATACATACATATTGAAAACCCACCCCTCCCACCCCCACATATGAACACACACACACACACACACACACACAGTCAATATAGTCAATAACATGGCTGGGCACTGAGGAACCAGGTGAGGAAAGAACCACCTATGGGGAGCCATCCACACTGAGAGGCGCCACAGCCAACGGCCACAGGGAGCGCCGCCACAGAGACCATCCCGACCCAGACAGACCGGGGTGGACTCCACACATGGTGCGGAGCCCCCCAGTCCTCTGGGCCTGAGGGATCTCCAGGGCGACGTCCCCGCGGGCAGACCGGACACACCTCTCAGTGTGGAGGCCCCCCATGAGGAAACACTGGAGCTAAAAACTAAAAGACTAAAAGACTAAAAGGCAATATGATAAGATAAAACAAGTATGAGATAAAATAATGATAAAATGCATAAAAATGTAAGATTAGGAAAAATTAAAGATTTAAAGATTAAAATAATATTATTAATAATAAAAAAATAAATAAATGAAGATTTAGAAACTAAAATGCATAAAGATTTTAAAATAAATCATTTAAAAGCATTAGAAAGTAAAAAAATATATATAATAGAAGAATTAAAAGAGCAAAAGAAATCAGTTAAAAGCTAAATTAAAAAGGTGAGTCTTGAGCCTCTTTTTAAAAACATCAACAGTCTCTGCAGTCCTGATGCTCTCCGGCAGGCTGTTCCATAAGTGAGGGCCATAATGGCTGAATGCAGCCTCCCCGTGGGTTTTTATTCTAACTCTTGGAACAATTAAAAGGCCGGTGCCGGAGGACCTCAGGATCCACGAGGGTTGATATGGTAAAAGCAGGTCAGACAAATAAGATGGCCCAAGACTGTTAAGACATTTAAAAACTAATAAAAGAACTCTGAAGAAATATGAATGGAGATATATTTTTAAGAATGTAATATAAAGTTAACTCAGCGTCAATGGGCTCTGACGTTGCATTTTGACTAATGAATTTTGCCTCTTCAAACTGACTGTTAACCTGCTGTTCAATGTGATTGGTCAATACTACTTGGACTATGGAAACCAGAACACTGGTACTCAAGTTTTGTCCTGTTGCCTACAGATTCAACACACACACACACACACACACACACACACACGGAGAATCTGTTTATAGAGATTAACGTTAGCTCAAGTTGGCTGGCGGACTCATAAGGGACGAGGAATCATCTCTGCTGCTACGTTGTTACTAGGAATCATCACGTAGGAGTCCACTGACTTGACTGACTGTTTCTCAGTTTTTAGTCAGGCCCCATTAATTTCCATGGAAACTGAGATAACACTCCCAACATACTTCGTTCATAACCGTTGCATAATCGCAATGCTACACTCGAAGGTTAGCTAAAAGGGTTATCTTTTCCAGAGCTGATGATGGAAGTAGCTATGCAGAGAGTTATCTCGCTTTCTTCTCATCTCTGTTGAGAGTTGCACATGCACAATACTCATCGGGCACTCAAGAAAAAACAATAGCGTCAGGTAAAGACAACGTTTATGAGCTATAGTGCAAGTGAGCATTTTAATAATCCTGGAAACAGGAATTTAGTTGGGTCGGGTGGTGCTGGAGAATGTGGGTGGAAACTCCAACTATGTATGGCGCAATTTGCTGCAAGATGAGAGCAAGGCGGATAAAACATGGTTACCCTGTGTCCTTGTTCTGATTCATTTACTTAAATAAAGATTAAACATAACATGACAACCACCTATAAATAAAACAATTTGTGTCGGGACAAGTAAAAACTGGGCAAGTAGATTTCTCTTGAACCCTGTCCAAATAAATGACAGTTTATGTGATATATGGTAAGAAGTTAAGGCACTTGGCATTCATGGTGAAATAAAACTCACCCCTGGCGGCTGAGCTGGCCTTGGACAGGAGAATTTTGGCCTTGGCTTGGCTTCAGGACTCTGGAAAAAGGAGAAAAGGATGTATTTAGAGAGCAGATTTTCTGAAAATGCAGTTTAATACATAAAACCGGACACTATAAAGCACCTGTTGGTGGTGGGGCTCTTTGGCTTCTGCTGCATCTTTCTAGCCTGTGCTGGGGATTCACCAACCCTGCAGAGTGTCACATACACACAATAAAAAACATTAACATCTAAAACCAGATCCTATCTGCAGTGTGAGGCGGTGTCACTCTCTCCCATCTTACCTCTTTTTCCTGTCCAGAGACCTCTGTGTGGCGGCAGACAGAACCACCCTCTCCTTGGGGTTCTTGGCTTTCTCCTGCAGGTTCGACACAGTCAGCAAAGAACGTAGTTGAAGATAAAAGTACTGCCACTGACAGCTTCAGATGAGGCATGTTATGAGGTTGAGCTGTAAGTCACTTTGTAAATCTGGTAATCAAGCTGCTATATAAAAACAGCTCATAACTATATGTTTTTAAAGTGCCACATGTTATCAGCAGGTCGACCAATTATAATTAATCTAAACACATGTAGCTGGCAGACAAACATTAACAAATCATGTATATGTTGACATGTATCATGTTAACTTTCCTTCAGGCCTTCCTTTAAAAGAGAAGCAGCAAATGTCAACTTCTTCTGATTAAACATGGCTACGTAGTTGATTGATGTTCAGGTTACCATGTCTCGTAGCTTCCTCTCTGCTCGGAGCTCCCTGTCCTGCTGCAGCAGTGCTAATCGATCCCTCAGAGGCATTTCAAAGAAGATGTCATGGATGTCGTAAAGGGCTGCACGTAACTGAGGGACAGAGGACACACGCATGAACATAAAGAAGGATGGACCTCTGCTGTCTGCAGACAGTAACTACACATTAGTACCTGAGCTTTAACTCTCTCCTGCAGGGATCGATCTTGTGCTGAGCAGGGGCCTCTCTTCTGTGGAGCCTCAGTCTGGAATGAACGGATGAAATCCTGCGTATCCTAAACACACATAAACACAGTGCACATTCAGATATATACAGTTTTTCCCACAGTCACAAACATGACGATCCATTTATTGTTTGTTTTTTTTAATTGGTTGGTTTTAAGTGTGCGTTTTTTGTGTGTTTGTGAGGGTGTTGTCTCACCGTGACCGTCTGCCGCAGGTGTTTGACCTTCTCTGTTTTCAACAGTCTGCGAGTGAGGAAGCCGCGAATGATGGCGCCAATTCGACAGAATGCTCTCTGCTGCTCTGCTGTCAGAACCTGGACAACACAAGGACACGAGAAGATGGGAATGTGAGGATAGAAAGACAGAGATAGTTTCAGAAATAAATGTTCATCTATTGTGAAAACAAAAAGGAGTTAGTTACACATAGTTGGATGTGGGATGGGAATCATATAAGGCTGGATGGAAGATATGTACGGCTCAGTTATGGAACTGGTTACTTTATATGGATGAAAGTCAGATGACAAGGCTAATATTTATCTGAGATGAAGAAATGAATGGTTCTTGGTCTCAAGATATGTCTGTCCAGACTCTTATGAAGCCATGACAGTGGACAATCCTTTAAATATGAATGTTTCTGCAAAAAAAGCTACAAATTCTAAAACATGGATGCTTCAAACACATCTTCAACCTGGCAGTACAGAAGATCTACACAAGCAGCACAATCAGTAACCACTGTCTTTATCCACCAGAATCTTATCAGTTTGTTTGTGCCAAATTTAAAGATGCAGTCACATTTTCTTGTCTATTTGGGCATACCCACCAGACTTAGCCTCGCTCGGGGTTTGCTAACTGCCCATGTGGGCCCCCACAGAAAGACAGGAGGCTGGACAAAGGGAGATGATACGCTGGAAGAGACAGGACTGGGAAAACCTGCAGAAAGAAACAGATACTTGCAATTTAGGTGTTTGACGTCTGTTTTCAGCGGTCTGCATGTGAAGAAGCCACAAGTGATAACGCCAGTTTATAAATGAAGAGTTTTCCTGTGCAGTAAAAACCTCTGGCTCAATTTCTCCAGAGTTAATGAACTACAATACTCTTCTGTCTGTGAAGTTTTTTTGTCATCCGCACTCATACAAACTCCAACACAGTAATAAGTGAGCATGGTGGTACCTATATTGTGTCCAGGTGATCGCTCAGATGGTGTGTGAGCAGGGCTTAGTCCCGGGCAGGACGGGCTCACAACAGGACGGCTGTCACTCACAGACATACAGTTCCACCCACAAGCATCCCCACTCAAAGGCCGCACACAGCCCTGCTCCTTCAGTCTTCTCTCTGTCTCCTCCAGCTCCTAACACACACACACACACACACACACACACACTCATCAGTAGTGCATTCTAACTAAACAACAAAATACAGGTTTTGTTGTTGCTTTCCAGCACAAAAAAACTCAACACATTTTTGTTTATCTGCTATTTATATGTGTGATTCCATGTGCTGACCAGACGGAGGCGCTGTTGCTCTTTCTCCTGCTCAGCCAGGAGCAGAGACATCTGCAAGGCGTGCTCCTCCTCCAGACGTCTTTGCATGTCCTCCAGTGCCTGTGCTCGCCACTGGGTCTCTTCTGTTGATGTACACAAAGAAATATATGTAAAATCATCTCTTTTACCTTTTAAAAGTTTCCCTGTCTCTCCAGCTTACAATGTTTAACCTAAATGCTGCAGTGGGAGAGACAGTGATCACAGTGGAAATGACACAGTTTAACTCAGGGATTTTTGTAGATACAGTGTGCATTACAGGTTACTGCATTACTGTGCGAGAGAGTCTCACCTGTCTTGCTGGCCTGTGCCTCAGCTGCATTTCTGAGGACAGTTGGTGTGATCCTTACATTGTTTGTCCCCTGAGGCTCATCAGGCTCCATCCTGAGTGTGACCTGGGCCAGGTCAGGAGTCATGCGGGGCCTCAGCAGAGATGTTGAGGGATTATCTACCTCATACGACTGGTTTAAGGGGGCTGCAGGGGTGCGCCAACTTGGAGCCACACATGTAACTCCTGCCATGAAGCGAGGAACCCGTTCCTGGCTGCGGTCTATGTGCTCAACACCAGAGTGGTAGCTATGCAGCTGGCTGTCCAAGGTGTGGCAACGCCGGCGAAATCCTGCAGCCAGATGGTCATGGTGTCCCTTCCCGTGCCCTGAGGTACTAACAGGGCTACAGGTCTCCTGCACTGGACTGGTGCCACAGTGGCTGGATCGACGACTGCCACTCATGCTAACACCACCACCACTTTCACTCCCCACAGAGCCCCGAGGACTGGGGGACTTCAAGACCCCTGAGAGAGCTTCTCCCAGATCTGCCATGCCAGCACCTTCCCCTGACCTTCCTGGGCTTCGAGGGATAAGATCTGCTGGGCCGATGGGAAACGAAATGTGGATGTTCCCTGTAGAAACTGGGCGTGGTCTGCGCCTCTGTGCACGGGGACTGACGCTAAACTCTGGACTGGGGAGACGAGCAAACCGGTCAGGTAGACTGGGTGAGAGGCAGCCAGACTGCTGGGGACTGGGACTGTACAGAGTCTGATGCTGAATTTGGGTCTGAGGGGGGCCAACAGGGCTATGGTGCAGACTGAATCCAAACTCAACGCCCGTGTCCCCCATGGGACTGCAGCTCTTGTTGTCCTTGTCAGAGACAGTCTCTGGCGGGGGAGTCCTGGTGACTGTCTGGACAACTTTTGACCCCTGCTGACTCTGCTCTCTCTTCACATATTCTCTTGATCTTTTAAGGAGGCTGTCCAAACTCATGTCATCCTCCTCCTCCTCCTCTTCCTCCTCACTCTTCCCTTCCCCTTCCACCATCTCTTCTTCTACTGCCTTGAAGCCATTGAGGATAGGGATCTCAGAGCACGGAGGAGCAGGCTGATCACTTGTCTGAAGCCCAAATCCAGGGTCTCTGGGAAGTCCAGGAGAGTCAGTGACCAGGGTGTAGCCACTGACAATCGCTGGTTTTGAAACTGGCAGCTTTTCAACATCTTCACTTGGTACTTTATCTGCCTGTGGGAAGACAATGAGTAATGATGACCAATCATCAGATGAAGTGACAATAAACAATGACCAGTTGATGAAATGATTTGTCCGAAATTGCATCAGTTTAAAGGTGCACGATGCAGGATTATTCTAAAAAAACAACAACATGAGACCCTGCTCTCTGTCTGTATTTTCTTCTTATTTTCCTATGTTCATGATGTTCCTGGGCACAGCGTGAACATGAGGTTGGGACCTTAACCCTGAACCTGCAAGCAGCACACATCCAAGAGGAAGCTACGATTATTGCAGATACAGCGCCAAAACAATGCTAATATATCGAGGCAAAGCACCAAACGTAGGAAGCTGAGGTTGGCTTTCTCTTTCACTGGAGATACTGTTTACAAACGGTAGTCAACAATTCCTGCACAGTATACCTTTAAAACAGTTCATTGCTAACATTTACTTCAAACATGCTTTAAAGACATAAAAATCAGGATGAGCTCCAATTTCCTGATGTTAAATTCAGACAAAACTTAAGTTATTGTTCTTGGCCCGAGACACCTCAGAAGCTCTTTATCTGATGATATAGTTTCTCTAGATGGCATTGCTCTGGCCTCTAGCACTACCGTAAGAAACTGGAGTAATGTTTGATCAAGATTTGTCTTTTAACTGCCATATAAAACAAACTTCACAAACTGTGTTCTTTCATCTATGTAACATTGCAAAAATTAGGCCTATCCTGACCCAAAAAGATGCAGAAAAATTGGTCCACGCTTTTGTCACCTCAAGGCTGGATTACTGTAACTCTCTATTATCAGGTAGCTCTAGTAAGTCCTTAAAAACTCTCCAGCTAATTCAGAATGCAGCAGCACGTGTACTAACAGGAACTAAGAAACGAGATCATATTTCTCCTGTTTTAGCTTCTCTGCACTGGCTCCCTGTAAAATCCAGAATTGAATTTAAAATCCTACTGTTAACTTATAAAGCTCTAAATGGTCAGGGTCCGTCATATCTTAGAGAGCTCATAGTGCCTTATTATCCCACCAGAACACTGCGCTCTGAGAACGCAGGGTTACTCGTGGTCCCTAAAGTCTCCAAAAGTAGATCAGGAGCCAGAGCCTTCAGCTATCAGGCTCCTCTCCTGTGGAATCATCTTCCTGTTTCGGTCTGTCTCCACATTTAGGACTAGACTTAAGACTTTTGTTTTTGATAAAGCTTATAGTTAGGGCTGGCTCTTGCAGTTCAGGCTGGCTCTTATAGTTAGGGCTGGCTCAGGCTTGTCTTGGACCAGCCCCTAGTTAGGCTGATATAGGCCTTGTCTGCCATGGGACCTCCTATGATACACCGAGCCCCTTCTCTCTTTTTCTCAGTTTCTAAAAAGTTGGTTCTTCTTCATTTGCTAACATTACCATCCTATTAATGCATATAGCTAACTCGGCTTTACTGCATGTCACTAACTCGGCTTCAGCTCCCGAGCCTTTGTGCTCCACTGTCTCGCAGGTTCCCTCGTATCTCAGCTTCGCCTGGATCGTGTGTAGTGGTTACGCTGCTGCCGTGGTCCTGCCTGATGCCTCCTACTACTGCTGTTATTATTAGTCATGCGACTTTTATTGTCACTTACATACACTATCATATATCAATACTTACAACCTATTGTATCACAATTACTGTTATTATTATTATAATATTATTACTAAAATTAATGTTATTGTAGCTACTGTCATTAGTGTCTGTCCTGCATCTCTCTCTCTCTCTCTCTGTCTCTCTTTCTCTCTCTCTGTCTCATTGTGTCATACGGATTACTGTTAATTTATTATGCTGATCTGTTCTGTACGACATCTATTGCACGTCTGTCCGTCCTGAAAGAGGGATCCCTCCTCAGTTGCTCTTCCTGAGGTTTCTACCATTTTTTTCCCCTGTTAAAGGGTTTTTCTGGGGGAGTTTTGTCCACTGTGAGGGTCCTAAGGACAGAGGAATGTCGTATGCTGTAAAGCCCTCTGAGGCAAATTGTGATTTGTGATATTGGGCTTTAGAAATAAAATTGAACTGAATTCAAACAATTCAAAGGGAAAAATATTAGATAGACAAATTTTGGCGGTCAACCAAATGTCACTAAATTGAAAAGTCCCTTGTCGAGTATGTTATCCAATTCAGACTTAAGAATAACCCAGTTTGAAAGCCTAAACCCCATCCTAACCTGTCCCTAGCCTTATCACTTCCAACATGAGAAATCTAAGCAAGGTCAACCTTAACCAAGACACTCAGTGCTTACTATTTCCACACCTGAGTCTCCTTTAATGACACACTTGATATTCATCCAGATCTCTTAATAAGTATCTGAGTCTCGATTGTTGATGTTGGTTATCCCGTAAAAATACATGCCATAGCCATCCTTTTGTTTGTGATATAAACACATCCTAAAGGTAGCAGTAGCAAAAGACAGTGACTGGCCAGTCATGTTTATTGAAACACTCGAAATTCCGCTCAGGTGGGCAATATTGCTTTGGATGCTGAGTTGACAAGAAAGGGCCATCATCAGGTAAAAATAGCACAGCCTGCCAGAGACTGTGTTGAGTCAGACAACCTATATTTAAGTCTGCAAATGTCATGAGAGATTCTGGGACAGACTGTAATTTAGTTTTTGTGCTACATCGTGGGACTGACACACAGACCTATTTCACATATTCACTTTTGGATGAAATGTGTTTATCAAATAAACAAAGTGGCTCAAAGTTGTTGCTGTTTTAAACAGAGTGGCAGAATCTATGCTGTGTGACTTTCATAAGCATTTGGATGTGGTAAATGTATATATTTTACTATTTGATTTCACCTATTCAGAGCACACTGTACATCTACACTATGTCACATTAACTCTGCAAAACATCTTGTATTCCTTTTTCCACTGGATCCCGATCCACCCAGACCTGTGACCAGGACCAAACTGTGCTACTGACCTGAGCTTGGTCCAGTATGTCCTGAACCCGCGCCAAAAGGTTGTTCCTCTGCTGCCTCTGCCTGACCACCTCCAGCTGGACCGCCTTCCATCTGTGGTCACGCATCTCATTGCGCTGCTCTGCACTCAACTGGAAAAATACACATTGTACACTGATTCAAAAACTTGTACCTTTTAAGCTACACTCTCAGTTTTCAACAAACCCAAGCAATAACTTATGAGAAGAGATAAATAAAGCAATAGTTAGGACAAGGCTTCCAATGGACAAAATGTACTTCATGAGGTTTGTTTGTCATCTATTTTCAGGTTTTACAAATAGGACAGTTGCTCTTCTTCCACTGTATGTTTGTGTCTCCTTTGTTTGAGTGGAGGAGAAATCTTAAACGATCCTCAGCTTCACAATGGCCTCTCCATCATGTGGCTATTCCTGAGAAGTCATTTGTCAGCAGTCACTAGCAGATGGATTCTCCTGACTAACATCAAACAGCCTCAGTGTTCTTTGTCATCAATTAACAGCTCTCTTTTTCTGCTGCCAACTGCTGATCTAATTGAGACTAGTCAGCCCACGTGTTTCAGACATATTCTGTAGCTCAAACAGAAATGTGTTTTCCCCTAATTGTTTTTTACATCCTTGTCATTGTTACTGTAACTAAACAGTTTAAGCAATGCTCTCTGTTACTATGCAGCTCCGAGTTATAACAACAGAGCCACAGCAGGATAGCGACAGATATACAGACTGTCTAGGGAAACCGACCAAATATTGGGTCATTACAAAGCAGAGCTACCTTTGTGGCAACAGAGCACTTGAACAAGCCACCTGCAAATTTCTTAAAAACATCCATTCTGTCTACTTTTCATGAAAAGCACTTCAGAAACTGACACTGGTTTAGCTACGTCTTGTTTGTGTCCTGTTAGGATATGTCCTCGTGTCTGTTTGTTTCCTCCTCACCAGAGGCGAGAGCACTGCTCTCCCATGGAAGCAGATGACAGAGAGAGCCTTCAGGGTGCACAGTGGCTCACATGTCGTCTTCTTGAATTTCCCCTCCTCCTGCAGTATGGCCAAAGTCCGCAGACAGAACTCCTCGTAGCTTTCCATCTCTGGGCACCCACACATCCAGAATAGGAAACACACACCATGTAGCCACGTCACCCGGCTGTTAAATTAAATGGAGAGGGTGGAATTAGATGGATATCCACAAAGTCGGTGGATGTGTGAGCTTAGGCTGCACTGGGTGTGGCTCAGAAGAGGAAACAATCTAAGATTATACGTGGAAGAGCAGGACAAATAGCCTGCAACAAAAGAGGGTCTGTCTGCCCTTAATGGTTCCATCAGACTCATCACATTCCTGTCATTCCTTTCTGTCAGACCTTACTGGTGTCTGACTATTTCCGTGTCTCATGGAAGTGCATATGTGTCTAATCAATACAGTTTCTATTTCTGAAATGCCTGTCAGCAGATGGATAATACAGACCCTTCACAGACAGGTAGTGTTAACACAGGGCGTTAGCCCAGGCGTACAGCTGTTGTATGGATGAAATTAAAACGTAATTTCAATGAAAGCTGCTTTGTGATCAGTGTTTACTCTATTTAGCTCATCTATGAAAATCACCATCCCTCGGTTAGGCTTTAATTCAACCCTTACAGTGCTACCAGTAACCTAGTGGTCATCAGTCGCCTAATTACAGTAGCCACCGCACACTGATTCATTGCAGCCTGGTGACAGCACAGTGGAGGTGGGTATGGTTTGCCTTTTGTACCCAGCTGTTACAAAGCAACCGGCATCTTTGAATGTATAATATAAGAGCTACGCTGCTCGGTTTCACGGCTTCTTTTAAAAACATAGAGTCGTTTCAGTCCAGATGTGCCCTGGCTGAATGGCAGCTAACAACGTTAACTGCTGATCGTTAGCCCTGTCTTACCTTCAAAATGGAGGAAACAGTGATTTCGCCTGTCCTGTCTCCCGACGACGGGAGTGTTACACGCGCACAAATGTCGCAGGGAAACGACAAAGTGCGCCTACAACACGAGCCTCATGTTTCTCCTTCAATCTCGGGCTGCCCATCATCACCAGTTTCAACTCTTCCGGGGCTCCAACAGCGCCTCCTAGCAACAGAGCGTCGGCCGCGTTCCAATACGGTCCACGCGACCTGTTCACGTTGCTACTAGCAACCGCTTCGCTCCTTTGTCAACAATTACACCCACACTCCGAGACATGAAGGAGTTTTGAACGTTTTAATGAACACTTCGTACAAATATCACGGGAATGAGACTGTGGTAAAGTAAGTAAAGGAAAGTCAAAGGTGGTGCTCTGAGAAAAGTGGAACGAGATCTTTGTCGAGCACTTACCTCACCATCTGCATTTTAAATCACCTCATTTGTGACACATCCTATTGTTCATCACACATCAACTCTGTGCATTGTGAACACTATTCTGGAATTTTACGAGTCCCTAGTATTGTTCTGCTCTCACAGTGTTCCTTCTACATGGACTAATCTACAAAAGACCACTTTAGAGCTCATTTATTGTTATTGTTGTTTGTTGTTTTAAATGATTTCATTCCTGTTTTAAGTGATATACATGATTGTTCTTTGTTTGTTTAGTGATTGTTTTAAATGTCTTTGTTCGTTGAAAATGAGGGTCTCCCTAAATTGATTTCCCGAGTCTTAAATAAAGGTTTGAATGAATGCATGAATGAAGGAATTACACACAAGTAAAGTTTGGGAATTTGCACAGCATAAAATGAAAGACTTCTCTCACATTTAGATTTTGACACACACGTGTCGGACCTCTCCTCAAGACAGGGCCTCAAGACTAGTAGGCACTGAAGCAGATACAATAATTGTCACAGGAAGCCCCAGCCTGACTCTTGCTGGCCCTTGGGGGCCATATACAGTGGTGGAAAAAAGTTTTCGGACACCCCATGCATTTGTGAAATATTGTATTAAGAATCATTCTTAGGTCTTCAAGTGCAATTTCTTTTAGTACAGTCACAGCCAAAATACTAAATAAATCCCAAAAAAGCCATTAAAAACTTAAAATTGATTGGTTCCATAAAAATACATAAGAAATTTTGAGTATTGGGTCATTTTGGTACCAGTGATGAAGGTCGTTCTTTTTATTAAAAGACACAATTTTTGTTGCCAAGCTTCGTGTCTACATAAAGCCAGCACATTTGAAAGTTCTTCAGACACAAAAATGGCTAAAACAAGGAACCTAACGCAGGAAACACGCCTGAAGATAAAGATTCTCAGCCAGGAAGGGTACAGCTGCCGCCAGATAGCCAGGAAGTGCAGATGCAGTCCTTCAGCAGTTGGATACACTCTGCAGAAATACAGACGAACCAACAGCTTGGAAGACAAACCAAGATCTGGGCGTCCAAGGGTTTCTTCAGCAAGAAATGACCACATCCTGATCCGCATGTGCAGGCAAAACTGCCGAATGACATCACAGGAGCTTCAGCAGCAGTGGTCAAACCAAACTGGTGTCCGGTGTTCCACCCGCACTGTATGTGGCCGACTTTTAGATCATGGCTTAAGGTCCTACAAGGCTATCAAGAAGCCCCTGATCAATGAGAGACAGAGGTTAACCCGGCATCGTTGGGCCCAGGCACACAAGAACTGGACAGCCAGGAATTGGAAGAAGATTCTGTGGTCAGATGAGTCCAGTTTCCAGCTTTATCTTCCTCCTACTAATGTGAGGGTATGCAGAAGGCCAGGCAAAGCATTATCTCCAGCATATACAGTACCTACTTTCAAGCATGGTGGAGGCAGTATCATGGTTTGGGGATGCATGAGTGCTGCTGGTGTTGGTCATCTCACTGTCTGTGATGGCACATTGAACTCTACCAAGTATTGTACCATTCTCGAAACCCACATGCTCCCTTCTGCGCGTGCACTGTTCCGTCGAGGTAAAAACTGGATGTTTCAACAAGATAATGCCCCTTGCCACACATCCAAGGCCAGTAGAACTTGGCTGCAGGAGCACAGTATCCAGGTCTTAGAGTGGCCAGCTCAATCCCCAGACATGAGCCCCATTGAAAATCTGTGGTGGATTATCAAAAGGTCTGTTTCAAAGCATAAACCAAAGAATTTAGAAGAATTAAAAGCAGTAATTCAAGAAGAATGGGACAAGATTACCCCTCAACAGTGTGAAAGGCTCGCGGAGAACATGCCAGCCAGGATTAGAGCTCTACTACGTGCCAATGGCAGGACTACTAAATATTAATTTGATGATGTGATGGTTTATTTATTTTTTGTTCAGTTTTGAACACATTCTCTGTTATTTGTTGACTTTGATACCGACAATGTTGAGAACTGACATATTGAAACTGTCAAGAATTTAGTTTTGTTAGTTTTTCTTGTAAACAATGAACAAAAATATATAATTTGTATTTGTTTGTATCTGTCTAATGCAGCCACACCTTTTGAAACACAAAAAAGATTTTTCCACAAATATTTCATGATAATATTTGAGATTGTGTAAAATTTTAAGGGTGTCAGAAAACTTTTTTCCACCACTGTATATAAAGCTTCCTCGTACAAAGAGTTGCTGCAAGTGACAATTCTTGTTATGTTTTCTTAGAAATCCCCCTTAAAATTAAGGCTAGGTCCTTGCACAGGTAACATTCATTCACAGAGCATCTTAGCCCTTAAAAGAGCTCCTAAGGTGAAAAACTGTTAGGAGCAAGGAGGAGGACTTTTAAGAGACTTAAGAGTTTCTCAAGCAGAAGAGAAAATGATGGAAACACAAACAGTAAGGAGAAATATTCTCCAAACACTGGGTGACAGTGAGTAAATGAAATGCAACAGATTAGATCGTGCAGGGATAATATGTGTGGTTGATCTCATGAAGGATATGCACACATTCCCCCCTTAATCACAACACTAAGATATCTGGAAAACTGGAAAAATGCACCAATGCAGCAGTGATGACTTGAGTCTGTCTCAACCTTCCATCAGGAGAGTGATCACATGAACAATGACAACACTTTCGCAGTCTCATGTTGTCACGCAGTTCATTTCATGTCCACTGGGTGTCCACACCTTGCAGGCTCACAAAAGAGCCTGTCTCTGAAAACCAATCACATCTGTTAAAAGAAAGCACCACACCTAGCAACAGGGTCGACGACACCTCCTCACTAAGGTAAAAGTTTCTGTCCCTTCCTAGCTCAGAGTTGCTCTGAGAACTTTCCTAAATCACTCCTAAGCTAGGACTCCTTACTAAAAATTTCTCAAAATGATTGTGAATACGACCCCTTAGAAGTAAGTGACAAACTTGTGATGTCATCGGGTATAAAGTCTGGAGCAGCTCCACGGACAGCGAATGGGAGACTGATTTTGTTTTATTTTTTTAAATACCCAAACCAGCTTTATTCTACTGTCGTGTTCTCAGCTCTGAAACGGAAAGGTACCCAGAACATTTCCCTGAGTGCTCCGGTGTCCTCTACGACATCTTTCCCAGTTCATTGTCTATGGAGCAGCTCCAGACTTTATACCTGACGACATCACAAACTTGAGTTGTAGCTCTCTAGTTTTTGGATTTGGGAGAGTTGTTCACATTTACTTATATTCTTGAATTATCTTAGACCATCGGAATACCCTGTATGAATTTTAAAAATGGGCGTAGTTCCCCTTTAAGGCCCTTATGCCAGTTGCAACTAATAACCTTACCACAATAACTGCCCCAGCCTGGCTCCTGTTGGCCCTTGGGATCTGGAGTCCTAGGGATGTCAGGTTAAGGTAACAATACCAGTCATATTTATCTATTTTCTAAAACAATACATCACTTTAATCTAGTCTATGATCATATACTGTCCTTTGCAACTCCCTTGCAACTTTTTTAAGCTGTTAGAGAGCTCTGTGTGTATTTTTTGAGAAGGCATGGATTCATATTTGTTGTTTGCTATTTTATTTTGCAGCAGTACATTGGCAGACACGCATATAATGTGTGTTTTAAAGCATGTGAATCACAGTGGAGAATTGGTTTATTGCTGAAACACCACTGCCCGACCACATCCAACATTTTTCCAATGATGTCTTTATTATACCACACAATTAAAAACACAGTATCATGACAACAAGCCATCCCACATTCAGCCTGAAGCTAAATTTGGTTTGCCGTTTTCACAACTCATCTTTTGAGCGCGCAGGTGAACCTGAAGGTACAGGCTGAGCAATGCGCACGTGCTCCTTGTTGTCTCGAAGTAGAGCTTCAACGACGTCCCCTGTAAAGGTCATTTTGGAATCCTGTCACAAAAGTTAAACAGTGTTAGTTCTCACAGGAGCCACATGTGATCTTTATACGTTCCACAATGACACCCACAGCCTACCTGAAAAGACTGGCGCTTCACCCCTACACATGCCGTGGACTGCTCATAACACATGACTATATCCAGATGTTTTGGTTCTTTATTCGCCAAAGCCACGTGGAACTGGTCATGATGAGTCTCTAGATGGGGATTCAAATATAAATGATTAATTAGAATGCTAAAATAAGCAAATCCATTGTTATTTCTTTGGGATCTTACCCAGCAGGTGCATGCAGGAGGATGTCATTTTGTCCTTAGAGACATGGCTATGTTTGTAGGACAGCAGTTTCTCACACACACCCCCAATGATAAGCTTTTCAAGTACCGTCTGTCTGCTCTCAGCTGGAGCTTCCTTCAAGGCTTTCTCAATCTCTGAGGGCAGTATACATGGGATTTTATTTACTTTCTATATTTTAAAGAAAACAATCAAAACAAGTGGTACTTCTGTGATAATTCAGTGTGTGTCATTTTTTGCTTCTTGCTCTGAGGCAAGCTGAATCACCGTACCTCGTGCTGCTGTTAGACAACTCTCACAATAGGCGTCTGTTAAAGAGAAAACAGTCAACAGAAACTAGCCAAACAACAAATACTATCATGACTAAGGAAACCAGCAGAATTGCAGTGTTTAATTTACTCACAGCGGTCTATGTCTTCAGGCTGCACAGGAAGAAGGTAGCACATACACATTAGAAGAATTAAGATTTTCATAGTCACTGACTGCAGACTGAACAAACAGCTTTCTAGACACTAAGGAAGAGACGTATCTTCTGTCT